AAAAAAAAATCCTCATTTTTTACTGTCAGAAACACGATTACATTTTTGTCCTAACTCTTACAAACGCATTTTATATTACTCTCGATTCTTTTTACTCACATTATTCAGATAGAAAATATGTACGTTTCATTTTACATTACATATTAAATATATTAATACATAATACAATATATTAAACGTAAATTAAACCACAAATATGATTAAGAGAAGAGAGGGAGATAAAAGGAACAAAGTTATAAAGTAAACTTACAAATAAAGATGGAAAAATTTGTATGGCAGTTCGTGCCGAAGAAATTAAAACTAAAGTAAAAAAAACATGTGACTGATTTAAATTTAAACAGATATAATAGGTCAATGAGTCGACTTTAGCATTTTGGGTTAACTAATCTGTTTGTGTCTTAATTTTTTTTATGGTCTCTCCAGTTTATATCAATCTTCAAACTGGTTTTCTTATATATCACAGCATTTCATTAGATAATTTTGTCACATTAATGATCCAACAAACTCACACAATTCGTGCAGTAATCCTCTCCTTTTCTATAGTACTTTTTATTTGGGACAATTTGTTTGAACGTTGTATATCGAAATACCCTTCAGTCACATAAATAAGTTGTAATGAGATTATTATGTACTATATACATATAAGTACACACACACACACACACACACACACACACACACACATATTTTATGAATAATTTATTATCGTGTTTAATTTATTATGTTTAGAAACGGGCAGAGTAAATTTTCAGAGCAAAAATTTAAACGATTAGTTTCTAATTAAAAATGTAAAGCTAATAATAGTTCTTGAAATATTATATGATGAAAGAAGAAGAGGATCTTATGATATTTGAAACTTGTATTTAATAACGTGTATTATCTACGTGTAAAATAAAAATATAAAATATATAATTATTATTTTTTTAGTACATTAACATCTCTTTAATAGGATGACAGATTGAGCATCAAATTAAATTTGCTCGTCAATTTAATTTGTGATATTACTATAGTAGTTTAATTGCGTTTATACGTACGAAATAATTCGGCGCGCAGTTCCAATGACTACATATTTAGTATATAAATTTACTTAGAAATTATTTAAAACATCTAAGATTCAGCTTCGATTGTTATAGACATTGAATTCTTACTTGTTGTGTATTCACATGTACAGTCTTAATAAATTCGTTTATTATTATTATTACATATTAATGATTTTTATAAAAATGTTTGAGAACTTTAAGATTAATGTGATCAATGAGATTTATATTTTGTAATTTTAGTTGTAATTGAAGAATATAACGTAAAATTTGTTTACTTAATTCTAAGTTACATTTGTAAAAAATCAACTTGTATTTAATTCGCTCAGAATTAATGGTCTCTAAATTGAACAAATTGTTAAATCGTTTTTACATTTTCGAAAAGCAGAGCATATTGGCATATTTTTTTTTATTGCGCCAAAACTCATCTGAAATCTGAATTTCATCTCTTTCAACTAAAAATGTCTCACTAAGGAAAGTTATTATCGAATTTCGCATGCCTATTAATCTGAGCACCAAATAACAATTTTTATCCTTTCACGCAAAAAATTTTCTATGATCTAATTCGATTCGATTAGAATCCAGTTTAATGTAATAAAAAAATTCAATTGGAATGTTTACGAAGATCAGTGACATAATGATCTTTTTATATTTCTTTATTACATTCATCGGAATCCAATCCAACATATGTTACAAAATCGTGAATTTTTATTTGCATTTTTATTTATGAAGATTTAGAAATTTTGATTTTGCGAACACCTGTCGACGAAGAAAATCTCACGGCGACTGATTGTCGAACAATCGGATGAGAACGAAAACGAGGATTAGTTATGATTACGCGTATCGTTCGCGCAGTAACCGATTTTCTATTATCGAGATATACAATTGCGGGCTACCTGGGCAATAGTTTCCTGGGTACTTTCCGGTGATACTCAGTATATGGAGGGTGGCTTACCGTATCGGCGAGCGGTCACGCACAAAGTAAAAGCGAGTTCAATTGTTCGTTACGTGTCTGATTGAACTACCAACGCGACTGAGATTGGGCCTGGCATTATCTCCAGTGATATCCGCCCGAAATTCGCGTACGTCGGAGTCTCCAATCGGTTATTGAGTTCTATTCGAATGACGATTACGACGCACAATTGATTGCCGGCGTGTGCGTGACTAGCATGTCGTGTAAAAATGACTTGATATCGATGCTACATACCGACTTTTTACGCGATTAGTTTAATACTTTCACATGAGTATACGTGCGTCGACTTAATTTAACTATTACGAGGTGTTTGTTTAAGGTCTTTGTTTTACACATCTTATTAATATCTCTATATTTTCTCTCTCCTCTTTTTCCCCCTCTGCTTTTGTCATTAATGATCTAATGAAAATTACTTGTACCATTACAATGTAAAATTATCTTAACATTTCCATTACAATTTTTATGATTCCACTACGACTTATCCTTTACTTTTATAATTCTTATAGAAAATGATCATCTTATAATAGAGTAAAATAATAAGATCGTAATGAAATGATCTTTTTTATTTTGACATACGCATTAAAAAGTGTATTTCGAAAAACTGTATTGCTATAACATTATATGTTGTAAGTTCTTTTAAAAAATGTGACTCGGTAGTAGATATTATATTAAATTCAATTGTGATTAAATTAAATCGTCGTAAATCTCATTGATCCGCTTTAATGAAATTTTAAACTGCTAAACTTCTACACAAAAATGTATTAATTGTATATAAATGTTGATTTTTCCGGAGAGAAGAGCTCCATTATGATGAAATACAAAAGTGATTTGAAATTTTGAACATTTAAAATATTTCAAAAATAGAAATATATCAGCAGCGTCTCTTTCTGGATATTAAGACGCGTATTTTATGAATACAATATCTCACTCGTGAAAACTTTATAACAAACCAAAGGTATAAGAGTCCTCTACATCACCGGCCGCGAAGATGGCGTAATGCGCCTGCAGAGTCGACTCTTCGTTTGTATTGTTTATAGAGACTTTATAAAGGATGATCACTCATTAATATTACATGTAACGCGAATACAGTCTGACCCGAAGATTAAATCACGTCAGTCGATGTCTCTGAAGTGACCTCCGGGTTATTCGATGTGATAGGAACACGTGTAACTAATTTTATAACATTATTATTTGTATATCGTTTAATTTGCAATTTGGTGAGAACTTTGTTGCATAATGGTATCACATCGGACTCCGTTGCTAAGCAGTTTGCTGAAAATCATCGCTTATTATCCTCGAATGCGAGAGAAATCCGATTCAATCCCACATAGATCCGAGGTGATGCAACTGTCATATCTAAGTTAAACTAATCTGCCCTAGTAAAAAAAAAAACCTAATAAATGTAAAGCTATACTGCTGCACTGATCGTATATATCTTATTACTCGTTATGCCCGTCCAGTTTCTTCGCGAAGTTTCTAGATGAACGTACCGTTTCGAAAATCGGCTGGTACCAGATATACTCACCTGAGAACCGGTGATTTGCTCGCTTTTATTGTTTCACGCGCGTGCCAAGCCATCGCGTTTCCTTCGCGATAACGCGTTTGAGAATAACGCCATGATCGTGCGAGAAGTGATGATAGCGATCGCAGTTTGTTTGCGTTCCTCCCACTAGCGAGCATCCTGTTGTCTATATGTATACAATCGCGCATTGCTTGTATAAAAATCGCGCAATTATGCATTACAATTGCACACAACGTGTTGCGGAGACGTCGCGACTGCGAGGACACATTTCGGACCACTTCACCCGACAGAACGAGACGGTGTGTCTTTTACCCTGACCGACACCTCCAGCGGCGACGGCGACGACGACGACGACGACGACGACGACGACGACGACGACGACGACATCGATTCCTCGAAGCGAGACTTCGATGTGATCGTGACGTAGCCGTGGCAAGAGGAGCCGAGAGGAAAATTTGTGGTAGGGACCTCAAACTAGTTGTTTTGATCTCTTTCGACGAACATATCGCGGAGTCCTCCTGCCGTAGTAACACGGCTGACGTCAACGTGGCTACGTGTCTCTCGTTTCCTTCGGCCACTCAAGTCTTCCTTGTCCATCCGAATCCCACACTTCTTCCCATCCGCATGTCCGTCGTGGAGACACCCGCCATGCCGCACCTGTCACGCTCTTGATTACGTTACCAGAGAGATATTCGTTGGGCGGAAAATAGAGGCCGATATTCGCATCTCTGAAACGTCTCTCTCTCTCTTTTGCGCTTTCTTCAAAATCTGAAGCATCACTATCCAACGGGACGGTATTCGCAGACGATAGCAAATATTCAAGAGAATATTTGATTTCGCCCCGAAGGCTTCATTACCGTAGCAATACGCGGAAACGTTACTTTGCGAAAATTTACAGAGGACTATCGCTAAGCGAGGAGAGAGATAGTTCTCACGCTCCCGGCGCGAGGAATCCACTACGAGAATAGATGAGCAACGTCCCTTCCTCGAAGAGGAATTCGAAGGGACCGCAGGGTGAGTTTCGTTGGTCCTCCAGATTTACATGTCACTACAGTTCCGAAAAGTGCTGTGCGCGAGAACTCTTACTTCCCTTAACGACTTCTCCAAAGTAATCTACGTCTTTCTTTTAATTAATAATAACTGTACAATTTTAACACGGTGATTACCAATTAGGGCAACTTTATTTTCAAAGTTAGTCTTACATGCTTTTTAATTACGTTTATATTCTTCATTAAAAAATTCAGAGTGAAATTCTTATTTTCGCCTAAAAATTATTAAAACAGCGAACAGCTAGCATCCACCTCTAGATCGCCAACTGTGAGGTGATTCGTTATTTGGTAGACGAACGGTGTTAAATTATTCCAAAAATAATACTAAAATGAATGAATAGATTGTATAATCATGTGACGAAACTGTAATGGATACGCTATTCGCGCTCACAGAAATATTACATTCGGCGTTCTCGCCAATACGGAGTGATTATATCTTTTTCTACCCCTTACTACCGAGAAAAGATCGAGGTTTCGCGGAGATTGAATTTCAGTATGTACATCTGAGACGCTCATCGATAAATTTGGTTAGCAGTTTTTAGAAAATATTTATTAATCAAGATCGTGGATGTACTTTAATGAGCGCGCGGGGGCGCATTTATTTAAGTGATAAACCGTTTCCTTTTCCTTGTCTTGCAAGACCAGGCAGAACCCTATATATTCAATTAAATATAATTCATTGATTAACATTATTGTATCACACTAATTTTCCTAATTTTTTTCCTCATTATTTATATATTTTTATCATTTTATATTTTTTCGATCCTACATATATAGTATATAGTAGCGTCTCGAATGTCGAATTAAGTAACTTCTTTCATTGATACTGCAGGTTCAACCAGAACGCATTAATTAAGATTGTTTAAAGTATTGCACTTAAATAGTTTCGTTATTAAATATCTTGGACGTCAAAGGAAAATTTCAACTGTACTGAATACATAATTGATAACTTTAACAATTAAAGAATCCCTTGATTGCTTCCAAGTACAGCATTTGTATGTAAAAGTCCTTTTCTTGAGATTTTTTTTATCTTATATTATAATACATAATATATTATATATATAATATAGAATTTTATATATATTTATATTATATATATACATATATATAATATATACTTATATATATATCAATTATATATATATACACAAACACACAGCACACATATATAATCGACTGTAAATAAGA